AGAGATAGCGAGAGAGGAGGTACTCTGTAATCGTAAGGTGCGTCGGGGAACCCCCGAGATCGCGGATAGGCGAAGGTTTTCTTTGGTACACCTGCAACACGTGTGATATATGTATATATATATTTAACGCTGGAACTACCGGGTGGCTCGAAACGACCCATTCCTCGTTTCTTTTACGACTACCGGAAAGACAACACGGATGATGTAACGATACACAAAACGGAATTGGAAATCAATTAAAATCTGAATTGCACCGTCGGCGTTTCTATAGGAGAACGGTCGGTAGTTCCAGCGTTAAGATCGATGAGATAGGGAAACCGATTCGAGAGTAACGGGAGACGAACATATTTTCGAGAGAAACATTCAACTTTTCGACCATCCACCCCGTCGGCTGTTCGACCAATTTTCGAGATTTATTTTTTATAAAAGGGAAAACGCGTCAGACCACATTTATTCGAGCTTCAAATTTTACTGAACCGCTTTTCGACGTCGGATTCAAGTGTTCCGGGTGCGGCACGATGTCAACGGTCTCCTTCTTTTCGATTCCGAATCGCTTCTTCGTCGGTCGCAACGGTTTCCACGCGGAAAACGGCTCGATCGGTTCCGGAGGAGACGGCGGCCCGTCGATCGCCGCGGATTTTCCCGGTTCGAGTGCGGCACGAATCGATTCCACCGGTCCCCTTCGGAATCGCCCCCGTTCCCGTGGCTGTTTCTCGATCGCTCGCGCAACGCTGGCCCAATTTTTCTCTCCTGCAATCTGCTCGACCGAGCGAAAATGTCGCGGGAGAGTTTGACGCGTGCTGGGAACCGTGGAAAATCGAAGAACGATCCAAAGTTTCGCCGCGGACCGATAAATGCGGCAAATTCGTGCGAGGCGAACGCAGGCTGAGGTTCAGAATATCAATTCTTTTTATTCTTCTGCAACGCGAGTGAAAAGGGTAATCGAAGTATTTTTTTTAACATCTAACTTTCAAACGGATTTTCATTGATTCTCAACTAAACACCTATTTCATCCTGTGATAAGAAGTTTTTAAGACAGTTCAAATGATCGATTTTACGCGAAAATGACTTTTCCTCACGAAATACATCACTTTTACGCATCCGAACGTTCTATTGAAATAAAGTTCTCGAAATTTCTAACATTCCTGAAACTCCCCAAGTATGCGAAGTTGTCATAGTTATTTATACTATACGAAGATAACGTTTCTTTACTCTAAGATTCCGTTCGAATGAATCTCGGCCTGCGTCGCCTACGTTCCCTTCGTCGCGAGCCAATTTCAAGATCGATCGTTCCCTTTCTTCGTACAACAAGCGACGAACGAATCCATAACCTGGAGAAGCGTGTTCGATGAAAGACACGGAAAGCGGAGCTTTTTCCGATTCGTTTCGTCCGTTGAAACGAAACAGAATCAGTTTCCAGCGATGTTTCGCGAATCGAAGCGGCGGACGCGTCCGAAAAGGACCGCGATCTCGCCGGGAAAAAAATCAAAGAAAACGTCAGTGATCGTCGAGAAGATCGCGTTCGAGCGTCCGATTAGTGTTTCAGTCGATGAAATCGAACGACGGCCGACCGGAAGCCAAACGATCCCGCGCGTTTCGCTTGTCCGTTGAAGAGGAACTCGCAGGAGCCGTAGGGCGCGCGTGAAATCGCTTTGTAAAGAGAAAAAACAAATGTACCCCACCCGCCCTATTTTATTAACAAGCTGTTTTTATACCATGTGATCAAGTAAATTACCTTTACACCTGAACTCACGGATATTTTACTGTGGCTCCAAGAACTCCCACGTGGACCGCGTTCACATCCGATTCCCGTCGGAACCGAAGGTCGTCGGGTTCGTTCTTCGAAACGAGAGGCTAAAGCGGAACGGAAATTCGGAATTTTTCAGGATCGACGGAGAGCCGCAAGTTTCGAAGCCTTCTCAGTCGTGCGATCGCTTTTTCGATCCGGAATTGTCGTTGGAACAAAGATGGCGAAGGGAACGAACCGGAGCGCTCAAAGACCCGATCTGCGTAACACAATTTTAACGCTGTTTTATTCAAACGATATAAAACGATAACAAAAAAAAAGAAGAAAAAGAAAGAAAAAAGAAACGAAATAAGAGATAGAAAAAACTGTTTGCGTGTGTGTGTTTGCGTGTGTATGCGAGCACGAGGAGAGACTCGTCGTCGGTTCCGTCCAACGTATTTTTGTAAGGAGAGTGAGTGTGCGTGTCCCCCTCGGCCATCCACTTCCGGTTTGCGCCGTTAACACTTTAGCTGCGGACGATCCTTTGTCGTGTCGTGTTTTTTCCTTCTGGTTTCTCGCCCCGTTGCTTTTGCATTATTCTCCGATGAGGAATCAACAGATTTTCCTTTCCGATGTACAACTTTAACGTTTCGTTGCTTTCCTTTCGGGGACGATACAGAGCGAGTCATTCGATCTGCAGAAGACACCTCGTGATCTATTTTTCTATGAATTTATATTCCGTCTCGAGTGCGTCGCGCCTCTCCTCTTACGGAGAAGCCGATAATTTCGCGTTAAAAGCTAATTGAGTTAGGTGTTCGAAAGGTTTAATACTTTACGAGCGATTTGCGATTCGTTAACGAGACATATCCTTTCGTCCGCCATTTTCTACGAAGCATTTACCGAGCCATTTCCTCGCGTTGAAGTGTAAATCCTCGTAAACGATTAATCGGCCTCGACCATCTTTGCCTAACGTCTTCGTTCGAAATTCGAAGTATCGTTTCCTCTTCCGCATACTATCTTAAACAGTAATCAACTAAATTGTAAGTGTAGCTGATAGAAAATCGCCTAACACTCAACGTCACACTGTTTTCATTTAAAATACGATTTACCGTCGGATCTCAAAATCAATTCGAAAGACACGAGAATCATTTCACGTTTCGCAGAAGAATATCCAGAAAATTGATTTTCCTTCAAGTGAATTCCGATTCGAGCCGAGTTTCCTCGAATCTGTTGCAGCTAAGGTGTTCCTAACGCTGGAGCTACCAATCAGTCGAGTCGCCGGATTTTTCCGCGTTTATCGTCCGATTGATTTGCACTTTACAATGCACACTAGCGGATCGGTTGATTTAGAAGCATGTATTTATACCTTTCGAGAAACCGCGGGAAGAAAGGGGATCCCGACTGATGGCTCGAGCGTGTGATCCTTTTGCAAGAACTAATCGGAACGCGTCTATGTACATACGCCTTCGTCGTTTAAGCCTTCGCACTCCCGTCGAACGAAATAATTGTACGAGCTGCCTAACGCTCAATTAATTGTAAAGCGAGCACACGCGTCGTACACACGAGAACGCTCGACCGATAATTTGTAGCCTGTACGAGCGAGATTAGCGATTAATTCGGGAAACGCGACGACTGCAATCGGCGCCGGTGCATTTCTACTCGTCGGGCCGGCGCGCCGTATCGTTTGTCTTTTTCCTTTCCTTTCGTTTTACCGCTCGATCGTGCCAGTTGTATTCGTTTACAGTCGCTTCTTCCTCCTTTCGTCGAGAGAAGAGATCGCCAGAGTGTTCGACCCCTTGCCTTGTAATCACCGAACAAAATGGCGGCCCGACTTCCGTACTTCATCGAAACCCTTGCCTTGAAACGAGAGAGAGCTCGCGAACAAACAGATCCGCGATAGAAAATGTCGAGCTCGATTCGATAAATGCGACTATCATTCGCTTTAAGTTGTACATACATCGAAACGAAAGACTATTTTGATATTAACGATACATAACCTAAAATTAAACGTATATACACTTCGAAGATAAATTCCCATTGACCTTTCGCGAACGACTAACCAAGACCTCTGGCGACCGCTGAGAAGTATCATGAGGCAAGGGGTTTATTATTAATATTATTTAAACATTGTTTCTCGATAATAAATACTATATTGTTCGAAAACGATTATTTATATTGATGTTGATGCTTTACACGTTTCACCTTTGGACTGAATTTCAACCCTCTTCGATTCGAGTCAATGTTTACAAGTTTGTTGGACGATCGAAATGCATAGTGTGTATGTTTTCGTTTCGGTCGCGATGCGAAACGATAGATGAAACGATCGTGAGGCAAGGGGCGCAGTAGCTTCGATAACAATCAAACGAGCTCTCACCGATTCTGTTCTATTTTCGTTTCTTCCCTTGCTTTTCGTCGAGTTCTTTGGTTTCGCCTGTAGACTCGCTTACGAACAGAATCTTATCGACTAATTAGAGACTCTGACGACGCAGGAGCCGCTGTCGCTCCGTCTAATCGTCCAGAACGTTATAGTTTTGTACGTTATGTAAATAACAGTAACGATATTTTCTATATTAATCGTACCGTAATTACCCCGCAACGTTCAATGTCGAACGTTCAACGTCTTCTTTGATTCGTTCGCGGCGCGTTCTTCTAGATGTAACGGGTGTCCCCTTGGATAAGTGATAGTAGCGATTAACAGGGATGGGGCGACCGTATTCCGGAGTTTCGGTTCATTTTGTTATACGCATTTTCTTTCGTAATGTTCGAATGTTGCTCGCGAGGAACAGTGTTTTGTTGATTATGAGTTTCCCATCCCTAGCGATTAGCCGATAGAGAATTAAAATTACGAGCCTAGACTGCGAACGTTTATGCATCGTACGATTATTCCAGAATCGTTTTCTACACCGCATCTCTCTGTTTGACGGTTTCAGTTTGGTTGAAAGGAAAATAAAGTACTTACAGTTACAATTTCTTTCATCCTCTTACACGTTTTATTCCTATTGCTGGTCAGTTTCAATGTGCTCCGAGTTTCTGCGAAGTCTTGCATAAACATCCACAGTCCGTTCAGTGTTTTGTAGATTTTATGAGTTTCTGGGATGAGAATGTATCCGGACCGCTGATGATTCAATTAATATTTATACGTTAATTAATTAATCGTTCAGTAATCTGTTCGACGTT